GCTGAACGAAAGGGAGGGAACGAAAGGGAGGGAACGAAAGGGCTGGAAAGAAAGGGCTGAACGAAAGGGCGGGAACGAAAGGGCTGGAAAGAAAGGGAGGGAACGAAAGGGAGGGAACGAAAGGGCTGGAAAGAAAGGGCTGAACGAAAGGGAGGGAACGAAAGGGAGGGAACCAGCGCTCAGAGGGCCTTGCAGCTAACGGCGAGAGTGAGTAGCACCAGTAGGTGGCAGACTTGGTCAGAAAGTCCCAGCCCCACTGGGCCTCGCCATGCTTGCCCTCCTCCCCCAGGAGCAGAATCTAGGGGATGCTCACCGCCCAGGCAGTTTGGCAAATATCAGGATGTGGCTATTTAATGAGACATAAAGACAACTGGAAACGCGGGGCATAAGGGAAGTTGGTGCAGTCCCCACTGCCAAGGCTATAGTTAAGTTCTGTGGAGACGGAGTTTCATTATGACATTTTCATACATGCACATAAGACATCTTGATCATATTGTTAACTCAGCTCTTACTGCTCACCCTTGTAGTCTCCTCACCTAGCTGGCTGATGGCCTAGACACACCACTCTTGGCTGAATGTACAATCTGTTAAGTTTCAGGAACTGAGTTCATGATGTGTTCCTCTACCTAGACTCCAAATCTGTCTATCCCACTATACTGGTTGGTTAATAACTGGGCAGTTTGTCTCTCAGATCTTCTGCTGGTCCCTCCTTGGTCAAATATTTCTGAACTGGCCCTTTTCTTTCTTTTTTCTTGTTTCTTTTTTGTTTGTTTTTGCTTTTTGTTTTTTTGTAGAGCTGGGATTCCTAAGCTAATAGCTATCTGGCAAAGGGAGCACAGTTTATGTTCCTTGCTTAAGCCAGGGCATTGTGTTAGTCCATTTTACACTGCTATAACAAACAGCTGCAATAATCAGCTTGTAAAGGGGAAGGTTTGCTTTTCCTTTGGCCTGAGAGGTTTCTGTTCACAGCTGTTGGCCCTGATACTCGAGGCCCATGGTAAAGAGTGCATCATAGTAGGGAGAATGAGGCAAAGTCAGGCCACTCATGGCATGTGGTGAGGAGCAGCAGGAGAGCCATGGCCCATGCTGCCAACTGATGCCCGAGACTCAGATCTAGAGACCTCCACTCAGACGAAGCTGCTCTCTTGACCACACCCACAGAAAAGAATTCAGGACATGAAACAGGAGGTGATTTATTAAGTAGAAACCGGAGTCAGACTTAAGCATGAGTGGTCAGAGAGGCATCCATAGGTATCTTTACAAAAGCTACATATGGGTTTTGAAGTTACATTGATCAAAGGACTGAAGAAAATTTACAAATTAAGTGAAGTCTGGCAAGAAGGCTCAGCGGGTAAAGGTAGTACACACACACACACACACACACACACACACAGATAAGTAAAGTGTAATGCTAACATTATAAAATTAAAGTAAAACTATCCAGGTATGGTGGCACACACTTGTGATCCCAGCACTCAGGAGGCAGAGGCAGGCAGATCTCTGTGAGTTTGAGGCCAGCCTGGTCTACAGAGTGATTCCAGGACAGCCAAGGCTACACAGAGAAACCCTGTCTTGAAAACAACAACAAAAAAATATATATATAAGTAAAAATTATATGAAATGTGTTCTTCAGCCTTCTTTGCCAACCTGGATTGGGAATCCCCCCTGGGTATGGCTGGGAGAGTGTCAATAGAAAGACTTAACTTATGCGGACAGAGTCACCTCAGTGACCTCAGGAACCACCACAGGCTGAGGTCATGGCCTTGTGAATAAGTAGGGAAGAAGGAGAAAGTGAGGCGAGTGCTGGCACTAATCTGCTCCCTGACTGCAGATGCGATGTGATGAGCCTTCCACACCCTGCCACCATGGCTCCCTTCAGTGACGGCCCCTCAGACTGGGAGTGGGAAGGTGCCCTCTCTTGCTTTGTTTTAAACACTCTTGTTGAAGGCAGTGCTCAAGAATGCAAGTGGTGCCTTCAAGCTGTCGGCAGTCTTCCTCGATTTTGCCCTTGGGTTGAAATGCTTGGTGTTCAGTGAGAGACAGTGAGAAGAGCAGAGCTGACCCCAGGGGGAAGGGCTTTTCATTCTCCTCCCCCTTCTCAGTTGTCTCACTGAGTTCTCAGCCTTTCAGAAAAGCATCATAGCCCCAGCTCACAAATGAAGAAGTGGAGGCTCATACATTTTTAAAAATGTGTAAAGAGGTGATGGAACCAAGACTTGAACCAAGGCCCATGCTCCACTGTGCTAGCATAACGGTGTGTGTTTGCTTTGCTGACATTTGTGTGGTAGCCTTCCTGGGAAGACATACTTCACACCTGACTACTCACTCCAGAAAGAGAACCCACAACAGAGCAGAGTGACAATTACACCAATTTCCAAGCTGGTGAACCAGTGAGTTTTTACTGGGGTTACTGCCAAGAATAGGAGAGGGGTTACTTGTGAGTCACAAGGTGACACAAAAAGACCTGCATCGAAGAAAAGGGCAAGCCAGCACGGTGGGCTCCTCGGCTGGTCAGTTACTCCACAGTGGTTGTTGATTGCTGCTTATACCCCCCCAGGAGGCATCCAGGAACACCTTCCAAGTTTCTGTTCTCCCAGACGCATGACCATCTCTTTTCCACCTAGGCCTCCCCCCTCCTGAGGGCAGGGTGTCAGTTGGGAGGACACCCTTCAACAGGACTTCAAAGCAACAAGAGTAAGCGCTGGGCAGGCCCTTCTGTCCTGACTGTATTTGCTGGTTTCCAGAGCAGCTCTATGTTTTACTGTGTCTGAACCCTTGCTCAGGCAGTTTGCTTAGTTGTTGGAGTTCCTGGATCCCCTGGGACACCTGGGAAGCCACAGTTGTCAGACTGTGTGAGTCAAAAGAGGAAAAAGTAGGTGAAGTACATATGTGTGCATCAGCCTGAGTTCAAGTCCCCAGTGCCCACATGAAGCCAGCTGTGGGGTTCATATACCTTCAAGTTCAGTGCCCTTACAGAAGGACCAGGGACAGAGCCATGAGATACTCCTGGCCATGTAGCATAGATAGTGTACATAGCAGAAAGGAAGTAGGGAGGAGAGAGAAAAAGAGGGAGAGAGACTCAAACAGTGGAAGGTAAAGACCAACACCCGCCCAAGGTTGTCCACAACCCCCACAAAGAGATGAAGTATTTGTTCATTTTGCATTCATATGCCATTGGTATGGCCTGTGATAATCACTTGATAAGGTGTTACTGTCCTGTTTCCCTACATCTGACCCACTCCAGTCTTGGCCATCTTTTAGGGCCCTGATCAAAATGGCAGCATTCAAAAAACTTTGATCTACCTGGCTACCAAGGTAGCCCCACCATCTCTAAGGCGTACATATTATTTTTGTTCCTCCCTTCACATACTTTCCCACAGTCCCCTTGTATAATCTCTCCTGTTTAACTTTCTGTCCTTCAAGCCTCCTTACATAGTGCGTATATGTGGTAAAGACCCGTGGATGGGTGGGGGGTGGAGGTTGGGTGGATGGGTGGACGAATGAGGGGTGGGGGAAGGAGGTTGGGTGGGTGGTGGATGGGTGGGTGGATGGGTGGGGGTGGAAGTTGGGTGGGTGCAGTTTGGGTGGTTGGATAGGTGGGTGGGTGGATGGGTGGGTGGATGGAGGTGGGGGAAGGAGGTTGGGTGGGTGGTGGATGGGTGGATGGATGGGTGGGTGGGTGGATGGGTGGGGGGGGAG